CCGTGCAGGGCCGTGTGTCATCTTTGGATTTCTTGACAACCACTTTTAAGGGTGTTGGTTGTAAATCCAAGCATAATGAAACACTTGACAACGTTCATCTTTTCTCCATTTATCATGAGGTTGTTCACTGTTACTGTTATTTTTGTGTTAAGATGTAAGTAAAGGATATATCCATAGTAAAGGATATAGTCTTTGATCTTCATCAGTAAGTGCTTTAAGTCCTCTTCACTTTAGCAAACAAGGTTAAGTACTCGCTTATCATGGTTGTTAAAGACTCTCCCATCTTGATGTCATGTTCTTTATATAATCCAGTTTCTGGGATTATTAGCTCAGCAGATAGCTTGAATAAGTATGGTGAAAGGATACAACACTGGTATGCATCTTTCTTGATCATAAACTATGTAGTATCCATTTGATCTCTTGGAACAACTGATCAAGTTCCACATGAGCACAATTAAGTATTCTGGAATTCCCATTCTTGGCAATGTTGTCCATAGTTTGTTATGATCCATACATTGTGGTGCTTTTGCATAGTCAATAAAGCATACGTAAATGTCTTCCTGGATTAGATCTCTAGGACATCAGCAATGATATCCCTCACTCCACATCTTCTTCTGATTCCACCCAGGATTTCTGGCAGTTCCCTATCAATGCACTGATGCAACTATTTTTTAAATCATCTTCAGCAAAACTTAACTTGGGTTTAACATCAATGCTACTGCTCAGTAACACCCACATTCTGTTGTTGGATCACCTTTCTTTGGAATGGGCCCCAGTGGGGCTCTCTTACAGTTGATTGGCCGCATAGACATGATCCACCTTTGTTGGCATAGGTGAGTGTGCCCTTCCAGAGTTGGGTCCATGTAAGGAAACATCTTGATTGGCATTTTGTCAATTTCTGGAGCCTTGTTTTTCACTAATATCTCAGTGTAACTTGGACTTCTTCCTTCAATACCGATGGTTCCTGGTCATAAGATGTGCAACCAATTATTTTTGGTAAAGCGACTGTATTTCTTCCATCTCCTCTTGATGCCTTCCGCATTGTTCAATATCTTGCCCAAAGAATCCTCCAGTATTTGAACTCGAGGCTTGAATTTTTTCTCTAGTTCTTTTGGTTTTAGAAATGCTGGGTGTGTTCTTCCTTTGGGGTGCTAACTCCAGGTATTTTCATATTTCGTCATCATGTTTTGTCTTCTCAAGCTCCTTGAAGTCTCTTCAACTATATAATGTCATCATCTTTCCCCATTTGCTTTAGCTACGTTATATTCAAGAACCAGTGTCAGTCTCTTGTTGACATAAATTTTAGTGGTCATTTCTTTTTTTTCTGCCCTTCTAATGTTTTTGTACTTTCTTCCTGTATGATGTTTTTTGGTGTGTTTTTTTT